TTATTTCAGATATTTTCTAAAATGGGTAGAATATCAAGAATAATATTTTCATTACAGGTTAGTGACAACACATGTGTGAAAAATAAGCTTGCTTCCATCTGGATGTTAATCCAGACTTAACCACTTACCTCAAAACATAAGTTAATGTGTAATGTGTTGTGGCAGACTCAAAATACAATGCAATTGGCAACAATATGACGACCATCAAGGGTACTTCGTTGTACGCTGGTAACATCTGCAAATTTTGTTTAGTATGTAAAAATATCCATATCAATACCCTTATGAGACTAATATAAGCTGATAAATGTCTAATCACCTGTCATATTTAAAGACTTCTATTATTATCTGTAATCATATTATATTATATTTTGTCAATGTTATGAAATTATTTAAAGCAGTGGTGACTTCCATATTTCAATTAGTGGGGGTTTAGGAAACCTGTGGAAATATAAAACATTGGTCTTCAAATAATCATGAATATTTGCAACAATCATAGTGACTGACAAATCAAGTGAAATATCTTATGAATTCCTTGGATCATACAAACAATCGAAAGGCTATGAACTTATTTCTTTCACTTTGTAAAACTGCCATCTTATCACAGAGTTGCAAGGTTTAAAAGATTTTGCTCTTAGTGCAACCACTGATTTAAAGATACATTATCTAAACTCTAAAATCACAATCAATTAATTCTGACAATCCTTAAGCAAGTTACAGATATGTATACATACTTTTTTTCTTTAAATGACAAGTAATTGTAAATTATTGGCTTGTTTTCAAAGAGCTAGTTGACACCTACTTTATGGCAAATCATGCATAAATTATATAATTCACATGAACTGAAAACTGATATTACTTACTACATTTGGTCATTAACATGGGATATTAGACTGCAATCATAAACCTCAGTACGAAGAAATAAAGCTAAACTTACCAGAAAATGCTGTTTTAGAAGCCGATGGGATTGTCAATTGCTTTTAATACCTCTCTTTGCTCTCTTGAAAAATGGTATGCTGTTCCATGGTCCTGTGGAATATATACAATGACTATTGTGCCTTCTTTCAATGAAAAGTAGTAAAGGAACCCAAATATTAAGATAGGGTACTTGTATAATACCAATACATACTACACAGTAATTGTTTTTTTTATCATTAAAGTTAATGACAAACCTTTTCTTGTATATACCATTACTGTGTTATTGATGTTGAATATTTCTAAACAGGCAAACTAGTGGTAGTACTAAGTAACCACTACTGAATATTACTTCTAATAATAACTATAAACCATTGTTGCTGTATCTACCCAAAAAGAAATCTTATCTCCACATATCACAAGCATTTTCACATCATTGATCTCTCTCTATAACTCTATATTAAAATCTTAGAATTTACATCTAAGAAAATACATTTGTATGTAATTGCAATTCACTAGTAAAATTTTCAAAATAATCTCATGGTATTTACCTGCTAAAACTTCAAGCTACAAGTATAATGTTAGATATCAGTAGTTAACATTAATAGATAGTAATAAAGCCAGGTATTCACAGTGTAATGGAGGTTTTGACTATTGTTTGCAATAACTTCACAATATCCTTTTTTCACTGATAAAGTATCTTACACAATAATACTATCTATTTAGCAATGGCAGTGCATCTAGTCCATTATCTCAAGTGGATTGGAAATATATTCTGCAGTCCACATACTTTTTGCTAAAATTTGAACAGACTGTAAAAGTAACAATCAGTTAGATGAAAAAGTAACAAACTTTTGACTGAATATTTCCTCGTCCCTCAGTTAGAAATATGTATCATTACAACATCATTAACAATATGTAATCCATATCGTTATTATCATCATTATTTTCATCATCATGATTTTATCATCATTATTATTATCATCATTACTGCCATTATCATCATTATCATTATCATTATTACTGCCATTATCATCATTATCATTTTATAGTCTTTGTCATCATCATTATCATTATCATTATTATTATTACTTTTACTATCATTATTATTATCATTATTATTACTACTAGTATTATCATTACGATTATCATTTTTATTATTATCATTATTACCATTATTATTATTATCCTTATTATTATTATTATAATTATTTCTATTATTATTATTATCATTATTATTTATTATTATTATTATTACTATTATCATTATTATTATTATTATTATTATCATCATTATTATTGTTATCATCATCATCATCATTATCATCATCATCATAATTATTATCATCATCATTATTATTGTCATAATAATTTCATCAATCATTATTATTATTATCCTGATTACCAGTTGAAGTAGTATTACTTCTATTACTATCAATATTATTG